CGTAATACTTATAGCGGCAGTTAATGGCATAACGTCATATTACAAGTATTTTCTGTTGGAAAGAGCATCGGAACAATGGGCCGTCAGATTAAGACATTTAGGATTCGGTAATGTGTTACGGCAACCCCAATCGTGGTTCGACAAACCGGAAAATGCCACCGGAAAGGTCACCACCATACTTATCACCGACACCAACTCCACAAAAAACCTTATCGGACATTTTGTGGGGAATATAACCTTCGGCTCGGTGTCACTATTGGGAGGAATAATTTGGGCACTCGCTGTGGGATGGCAGTTAACATTGGTAGGGTTTGGGTTGGTGCCCATACTGCTAGCATCCTCGGAATTGCAAGGTTACGTGCTGCAAAAATACGAGAAAAAGCAAAAACTTGCCAACGAAGAAGTATCGAATTCATTCTATCAAACAATTTCAAATATTCGAACGGTATTTTCTTTGGCCATCGAAAAAGCCATGGAAGAAAATTTTCAGGCTGCTCTCGAAGTTCCATACCTAATTGGCATTCGCAAAGCATTCTTTGGTGGATGTACCGCCGGTCTCCTGGACGCGTTTCAATACTTCTCCAAGGCGATAACATTTTGGTATGGAGCTCAACTCGTCTCCCAAGGTATCTACGACCTACAAAAAATGCTTATAGTGTGGACGCTAGTCATCTTCTGTACCACCTCCGCCTCGCAGATGCTCGCCACCATCCCATATTATGCCAAAAGCAAACAAGCCGCGAAATCGATCGCTAGAATTCTTAGTTTGCCCATCGAAGATACTACCAGTGGCAATGTCATTGATGATGTACAAGGAGTTGTGGAGTTAAGGGATGTCCACTTTTCATATCCCGAAAGACCCGATGTAAAAGTTTTAAATGGGTTGAACCTCACTTTGCAACCTGGCCAGTCGGTTGCACTGGTTGGCAAAAGCGGTAACGGAAAATCCACAGTGGCAGCATTATTACAACGGTTCTATGAGCCTAGCAGCGGGCGTATCCTATTTGACTACGTGCCAATGAGAGATCTCCAACTGCACTGGCTACGTGAACAAATTGGTATAGTCAGTCAAGAACCCATCTTGTTCGATGCATCCGTGTCCGAGAATATAGCATACGGTAAGACGGATGCCACTCAAGAAGAAATTGAGATCGCAGCGCGCCAAGTCAATATGCACGATTTCATACAATCTTTACCTGATGGGTATAATACCAAGTTAGGCAGTAGCGGATCGCAACTAAGCGGTGGTCAGAAACAAAGGATTTCCATTGCCCGAGTGTTACTACGGAACCCCAAGATATTGATACTGGATGAGGCGACCAGTGCGTTAGACGCCACCAACGAACAAATCGTTAACGAGACTTTGACCAAGGTGCAGAAGGGCAGAACAACCTTGATGATTACGCATCGGTTGACCAACGTCAAGGATATGGATCAGATAGCGTTGGTCGAGGATGGTCAAGTTTCCGAGATAGGAAGTCACAAGGAGTTAATGAGTAAGAGAGGCGGCTATTTTAAATTGGTCACCAGTGGAAATTTCTATGAGGATTGATAAATCAATATTTCGATATTTGTTTTAAATACGAATTTATTTCGTACGAGGAAAATTTGGACAGCAAGCATTTTTTAATTTATTACACGCATTACATGTATTTTTCCGCATATTAAAAATTGAACATTCGACTTCACCTTTTTCTGACATAGCAAGAATATGTATTTTTTCAATTTTTTAAACAATTAATCTTTATAATAATGTAAATTTTTTCATTTCTGGGATGGGAGGTGTGCCCGTTATCAGGATAATTGGTTGGAAAAGGATTTTTCCATTTATATCCATTCGGAGAATTCCTTTAAATAATAAAATATGTGTATTTATAAATTTACATCGTCATAATATCATTTCTGATTATTGTTCCATTTAACGCAGTCTTCAAATTTAACTCTTGTTCCGCCAAAAATGTCCAATGCACTGTTGGAGAAACCGTATGATGGATAGTAAGTTTTGGTCATCATCGAATTGGAACATGGTAAAATCGTGTGCCCATATTTCAAACGTTACCTTCCAAAGGTCAAATCCACTTTTCCATTTGATAACCTGTCGACCAATTCGAGATCAGTAATCGCTAACATTCAAGATAAAAAAATTTAATTATTTTCGGCATTTCGAAATCGCATCGACGTCAAATTCTTGGAACATGCGCCCTACAATTCGCCCCTCCCGCATAGGTGGTCGGTATCGTGGTCCATTTGCCCAGTTCTATCGATCAAATCTTTCGAGATTTGGATGACGCGAACAAAAAAATTTGCAACATCAAGAATGGGAGGATACGTACGTTCCACGAGCTCGATATCGATTCCCTGACACAACCCTTCTACATCCGCCGCATGAATCAAGAATTCACTATAAAAAGTTTTTTTTAAAAAAAAAAGACAAAAAGATTATCTTAATAATCAGGAAGATGAAATTTACTTGACCTGCAATAATTAGCCAATAATTCCAAGGATTCTTAAAGGAAATTTCCTGTTAAATTTTCGTCACCAAATCCAAATCTAACTTTGGAATGGGAAATACCAGAATAATACCTCTGTTGACTTCCATGTCTGTCATGGTCTGCCATTTATTCATGGCAACGATCCATTTGTCTTCTCGTCTACGGCAACTATGCAAAATGGGATTTATATAACTTGCGTTCCGGATATTAAAAGGTACTTCGTAAAGTTATAAAACCATCTTACCTCACATCGACGACTATTCTTTCTCTCCCGACCTTCTCGCATAAGTCTTGTAAACGCGAAAGGGAAAATTTCGCGCCGGGAAAAAGGTAGGACGTAACAATTATCTAATTACACGGAATAACATAGGAAACTCACATTGATGCTTTTTTTTTTAATTATAATGGTTTGGTCGGACCTTATCTGCTCCAGCCTTGAGCCATTCCTCGGCATTATCAATGGTAATTCCACCACCGATTTGTAGACCGCCTAGAGACATACTATCACTGTTTATCAAAACCGGTAAGTTTTAACGAAAGAAGAAAAGAATTCAGACCAGGCCAGGTGTTCAGTGCTTCTCTAGCCGCCTCATCGTTTCCGGCGCCTAGCTTGATCACGTGAGCACCGGTTAGGTTATTTTGTTTGTAGAGTTCGGCATAATAACTTGGACTCTCGCTATTCGACAAACTCGGTTACTAACGAGTCAAGTCATCTCGTAAATATATAATTGCACGTTGGAGATACCTCGATATGAAATTCGTTTTTAATTCACCCGGACTCGACTCATTCAACGAACCACCCACTATCTGTTTTACTTGACCATTGTGTAAATCAATGCATGGCCGGAATTTCGTTCTGGTCATCTCTCTTGATAAATTGGATTGCACAAAGACGGTAACAAATTACGCAAAGAAAGAAATTTAATTGGATGCCCATCTTTTTCTAGCCACATGCAACATTTATATTTTTTCTGCCGGTTAATTAACATTTTCCATATTAGATATTTAAAATTAACCACAATTTATTCAAAGACTCCTTTACACCGGCTGGCCTACATTACTTTGATTTTTACACCGGCTGGCCTACATTACTTTGATTTCCTATCTAACTCGCGAGTACAATAAATTTATAAAAACAATGGCACATCGTCATTATAGTACATTGCAAGAAAAATCATATCAAATTCATCTATTTAATGGTAATCTTTTTGGTACCAGGCGCCTCTCCCTTGGGAATCTTAACCTCAAGGATGCCTTGTTCAAATTTTGCCGTGATATCATCAGACTTGGCGTTTGGTGGAAGGGAAATGGTGCGAGAGAATGAGCCATAACGTCGTTCTTGGATATGAGTATTGCCTTCTTTATATCTTTGATCTTGTTTGTTTTCACCTGAAATCACGAGAGCACTGTCACGAACGTCAAGACTGATTTGATCTTTGCTAATACCCTAATTAATTAAAATAAAAATGAAGGTTCCCTTAATAAACTAATAAACGAGTGAACCTGTACGTCGTTTGATGTTGAATGAACACATACGGGCAATTCGGCATTAACAACATATTCTTTTTCAGTTTCGTGAACATCGAGAGCGGGCACCCAAGCTCCTCTATAAGGTCGAGTACCTCTAGGACCTGAACGTCTAGCGACATTTAGATCTTTGAAGAAATCATCGAATAAATTGGTAACGGAATTTTCAAACCGACCAAATTCATTATCCCAACCATGACCAATAAGAGACATTTCGAAGAATGATGAAGGAGGAAAAGGTGTTTGTTTAATCTGATGAGTTTTTTTTGACTTTAAGAGAAGCTTTTTGTAGATTAGTTTTGATTTGATTTTTGAAAAAAAAAAAGAAGAGGAGGGGCGGATGGTTATATATTTATATCTTTTCAAAAGTATTTAATTCCCGCGTTCTTTTCTCAAGCTTTTGCCCAAATTACATATTTGTGTGCTAGAACGTTCTACAAAATTATCATGTCATACGACCGAAACCTATACACTATCATGTCAAATCATTCGATGCCTTTCTAACGGCCATATGTATGATTATGGTTTCTGAAATTAATTCGAAGCTTAAGCTATGAAACTTACATTTTAACAATGATAACCGTAATTATTACGTATCTAAATTAACATGAGAATTTACATTGTCCTCGGGAAAATTTTTCGACTAGGTGAATACTCGATCGACGAGCGAGTGCTAAAGATGGATAATCATCTGAGGAAGTAACTAGATTTATTTTCATTACTGCGCATTGTTCTCAAACTAAATTTCCGAATTAGGAAAAATCACTTACATCATTGTGAAATTTTGCGTATTGGATAATGATATCGAATGATTCGTTCGAAATTTTGCATCAACTATACTCAAAACTGTATTAATAATCTTTTTGTAAAGTATATTATACAGTATATTAAAATGATTTAATTATAAATTTTTCAAAATTATAATATAAAAAAACATTTTTTCAATTATTATAAGTAAAAATAACATAATTACAGTATATTATATACAGTAGGGGACGAAAAAAATTGTTTAAACTATTTAAAAAATTAAAAATTTTATTATAATGTAAAATTTATTTATTTAAAAAATATAAAAAAATATTAATTAGTTTTATAAAACTATTTTTAATTTTTTTTTTATATTTTATATATTAATTCATATAAATATTATAAGGTATATATAAATTTATATATAATATATTAGTTTATAAATTTTGTGTATAATATAAAATGTTTTAATTAAAATAAAAATATAAATGAAGGTTCCCTTAATAAACTAATAAACGAGTGAACCTGTACGTCGTTTGATGTTGAATGAACACATACGGGCA